CGTATATTCTGGAACACTCTGTTAGTCTAAGATCCATACGAGAAAGGAATCACAGTGTTTCATACATAGCGTCGCGTTTTCCTATCGGGCACGGATATCGCTTCTGTCGATCATGAAGCGCGACGTTATGGAGGAAACTCTATTCTAGCGCGATATACCGTCGTATTTTCAGGACTACAAAAGACACTTGTAAACTATCGCTGTATCGTGCCTATTATCGTACACCGCTCATCGAAACTCGGATGAAAGGGATCTCGCAGTCGGAGAGGAGAATACTTTGCTTTCCTGGCGACGATAGTTGTCAGAGAGACAGGATGTCCGCAGGCAGAGGTTCTCGAATGTGTGTCTGTACACTTGGAAGCAATGATAGCAAGATGGACCATAATCCGACTCTACTTTTCTTAATGGAATAGAAAGTTTTACCGATCGATTCGTTAGTTCACAAAATGAATTTGTTTCTTCCTCTGATTCTCAGTAAACCTCTGTTTATGGTCCTGCTGGGTGGTTACACCGCTGCATCGATGCGTCCAAGTACGCCGGATTGCCTGCGCTTGCTGTTGATCTAACGTACTATTCTCATGGTTCCTATTTGGCCGGCAACTCCTAACATTGCGGTGTAAACCTTGCCGGATCATTTGCATTTCCAGTGCATAAGTGATGATGATGAAGATGAAGATGAAGATGACGATAATGACGATGATGATGATGATGATGATGATGACGATGATGATGATGATGATGATGATGATGATGATGATGATGATGACGATGATGACGATGATGTCGACGATGACGACAACGGAAGCTCGTCGAGCTATTTATATTTTTGAGACTGTATAAAAAATACGAGATCGACGAACGACACGCTCTACTAGCTTTCCGTGAGTTTCATTTGCCCCGTCGGATATCGTGTGTAGATCAATTAGCTAGACACTAATCGCGGTGCTATTAGTCGATACTCCGAAACGATTATTCTTTCGTCCGCGAGACATTCCCCGCCGCTTTAAATATAAACTCCAGAGCCGCAGTCCGCGAGTTTTAAGTTCCTCTCTGTCGCAGATCGCTTCGGGAATCCCCGTCGTAGACAAAATACTCAGAGCCATTCCGAATCTATCCGGCCCACGTCCGAGATGATCTTCTGTCCCACCTTGATCACGGTCCCGCGACGTTCGCGATTCCAAAAATAGGGGATACTCCAGGAGGATTCGCTTCGGAATCGCTCGCGGGAAACGCTGGTATCGAAAACGTTTTGGAGAGGCAGGAACAGCGACAGATGCTCCCATTGGTGGTACATCATCCTCAAAAATATCAAAACAATTGTACACTGCCTATGGGAGACCGCAAAACCGTCGAGTGCCCCGCTGGTTACATTCCGAGCTCAATAACTTGAATCTGAGACTTAAATTCTACTGCATTGGACTTTTCAAATAAGCGTTAAAGCCACGATTTGGGTCATGTATTTAATACTTTTTTTTTTAAGAAAAACCATGGCACTCGAACGGTTGATTAGAAGACGGGGGTGGGCGGACCGTTTCTCCGACAATCGCGAGGATCCCGAACAAATGTTGCTACGGAACGAGCGTAAAATGCACGCGGTCCTCGTCGAGACCCTGCTCTCGTTTGCTCATCACCGATTAGAGCCGGCTGTCGGAACAGAGTCCGCTTGTGTCTATACATACGTGCGTGTGCGTGTACTTAAGCCGTAAGGATATGTGATTTTATTGTTACACGAGTTTACTATACACGTCTAGCGGCCGCGCGCGCGTGGCCACCCACTTAATTGACCCATTGGCCTAATATCGTCTAAGCAGTTAGTTTTAGATATACTCTCTCGAACGGGCGAACGTCTTGTTCCGTTCGTTTCTACCCCCTCTGTTTTCTCGGAAATGTTTAGGAATAAATTGAAAGAGAGCGAGAGAGAGAAAGGATGTTGATAAGCAATTAACGCGCGAGTCAACGTAGGCGAATGGATTGCGTAAGGAAATGTGATTTTACTTTTAAGACCGATCTGTGTTACATTCCGGGAGACTTCGCCGGTTCTATGCCAGTGGCCATGTCGCCTGACACCCTTGTTGTTCAATTGTTACCCCCCCCCCTCCGGGAGATCTGTTAGGTAGACGATTATTTAGTTTCGCTATGCCAGGCAGTTGTATAGGCCAGAGCCGCCCGAAGACGGATACAGATCCCAGCGTTAGGTGTAGATTATTATAATATTTGACTCCCCAGCATATCCGTTTTTATCGTATATCGTGTAGGAGATCCATGAGGAAACGATCAGACCATTCTTTTCCACGATCTCAGTGATAATCGGGATGCGGATCTTTATGCAACAAAAACGCGACGCAGTTCAGCCCCTTGCGCTCCGTACGATTTTCTCATGCCATCGGTGGTATTTCGGTCCCCTATTATGGTGTCAAACAATTCTATTCTCGGAAGAAGAATTAATACTTGCACAGCCAACGGAGCGCAAAGAGCTGCCACTGTAATATTTGTTACTTGCTGGAACAATTCATGAAGGAAACGGAGTTTCGTTTGCATAAAAATCCACAGACTAATTTTAGTAATTGCAACGCGAATCAGTTCTTCGCGGACGTGAATTTTCCTCGGTTAGCGACCGATTGATTAAGAGAGAGAGAGACCATGGCGATTAGCCAGTTGACCGAGGAAACAAGACTAACGTTCGTACATTTATAATCATCCCTCCGACCACTCGGGTGCTCGTTTATTTCGCTGCTCCGAACCGTTCCCCGCTAGCGAAGCCAGTGTGAATGGGATGTACTTGTGATTCGGGAGGGTTCCTGGGCCCGGAAGCTAAATTAGAATGCGGAAGATCGTCCGGGAACGCTTCCCCTACTGCCAAGAAAAATCCGATCGACGGAACGGAGACATTCGACCGGTTCCAATCCGATTTTTCTCTAGTTGAACACTCCCGAGGCGCGACTGTTAATTTATCACTGGACTGCGGGTGTTATGCATCTATACTGTTCATAAAAACTAAATTAAATGTAACTCGTTGATATCGTTGTATCGCTCCAAATCGGTACTTTCAACATAATTAATTCCGTCTTGAATGCTAAGCTTTAGTTACATTCTTGTCGCCAAGCGGACTAAGGATGAAGCAAGCCGGTTGCTTTAACAGAAACAAGTTTTATTCGAACCCGGGTTAACGCGTCGATTTGCATGAACACCCGCAGTTTATTTATTACGTACTTATATCTTATATAAGATGGGGCTGCTGTATTTTTACACGGACTTTGTACAAATAACGAGAGCCGCGAAAGCCGCGAGGGCGACGCCGTTCGCGCACCGTTATATATAACTGTATACCAATAAATAGACGTAGAAATAGTCTGAGCATCTTTCAGATAGGCCGTGTATTCCTACATATGCTTCAAACCCGAGTCCGAATGACATTTTACTTTCGCTGCAGCGCAAACTTCGCTGTCACCGCGTTTATCCTTGCAATCTTGTCTCGCTGCCACAACTCTGATTCGCCTCCGTGCAGTTTCTTCCTCGAATTGCACCCTATTCCTGGCTATGGTCTCCCTTAGCTCGTTTCCGTACTGCATCACTGCAAGATGAATGTTCTAAGTACGCTGTTCCACAGTTTGCATGCGATAACAAGAGCGTAGAATCTACACTGTAGATCAAGCAAACCTTCTTCTCGACGCTTTTCTTCCTTTTTCTTCTCCGCAGTTTCAAGTTTCTTCCGCTCCTCGGCCAGATACCTTGCAAAAGCTGCATCGATCGCATCGTCCTTTGCTTTTTTCTCAGCGGCGAACCTCCGTTGTCTCATCTGTAATTACAGTTAGATATCCGACTGAACAACTCTCAATAGATTGGAACACTCTTAAATTTTACCATATCCTGCATAAGTTCCTTTGCCGTGTGTTTCTTCTGCAGTGCTAGCCTAATCACCTCATTAGCTAGTTTATTCTCTTTTTCAGCTAGGTATAAATCTCGACAGATTCTCTCGCGCTCCAGTTTCTTAAATTCTGCATCCTGGATCTGTTTCCCTACCTTCTGCGCCATCGCGTCCTTCCCTGCTTGCGTGTCAGTCTTCTGCTCGGCTTCTCGCTTCTGCAGAGCCTCTTTTTCATTAATTACCTTCTGAATTTCATCGTGCTCCTGCTTCAGAACCTCCCTCCGCTTGTTCTTCCAGATCTGCCTAGCCTTCAGGAAAGCATCCTTCTCAGCCTGCAGCAAAGCAGCCTTCTCTTTTTTCACCTTCTCCGCTTCTAATTCCTCTCTGCGCAAAGTTTCGTCAGTTTCTTCTAGAATTTTGCGTTCTCTATGCTTCTCTTCCTCCAATTCGCGTTTCCTATGATAATTGTCTGTCTGCTGGTTCTGTAGCTCTCTTCTGTAACTCAACTTCTTCTTCTGCAGCTCCTCTAAGGGCATCTCCCCGCCAAACAACCATGCATCGGGCAAATTTAAACGCGTTGTATCCTTTTGCTTCTCTTCATTTAATTTTGTTTCTAAATTTTGAATAATATGGTCAGAAACTATCGGGCAAGTATTCCTTGCCTTTAACTTCTGAAAAAACTCTTGCTGTTCATGGTCTGTATGGGCAGATACATTTTTTTTATAATAAATTGAAATCATCCAACTTTATTAAGGATATTCCCCTGTTAGTCTACGACTTACGTTTCCGAAGCGCTAACTCTTTAGCAAGTTTCTCATCTCGCTCCATTCGACGTAACTTCAAGTCAAATGCTTCTTTAACACGTTGTAGCTCTTCCGCTTCCGTTGCAATCCTCCGATCGATGTGCTGTTGACGCAACCGATGCTTCAAATCACTTTTCTTCAGCAATAATCTACGACGGTGCTCCATCGCCTCCTCTTTGTGTTGTTGAATTTTTTCCTGCTCTTCGTTGTCTACTATCACCTGCATTTTGCAATTTTACTGGGAAATAGCCTTCCTATTTTACTATCAAACGTGTACCGATGCCGGAAACATAAACGCATCACTTGTAAAACATTGGAAAAGTCAGAAATTGGAAAAGCTCAATTTACATTTTATTCGCTTAAAAGTTAAATTTTAAAAACAGTACGAAATTATTTACATGTATTTGTCAAAATTTTTCTAGCCCTTTCTTTAAGTTGGGGAACTTCGGTCACAAATCTTATGGAGTTTAAACAGTGTACATTTGCATAAAGAAAGAGCTAGAGACAACATATATATAATATGTTTAATAGTCGGCTGCGTTGCTGGCCAAGTAGTCTCTGCGTCCAATGTTGGATGCCTGTTTGTTTTGAATTGCCTCCAGCTTCGGACACTCCGTAATTCTGTGCCCAAGACCACCGCAATAACTGCAACCACGTTCGTCTAAAACATAATACAATTTATTAGTTCATTATTTATTCATTAAGTGTAAAAATAACTGAACGCAAAGAATTTTACCTCCCAAGTTGAGGTACTTCTCGTTCTCGGAACAGAGCTCCAACAGGAAAGGTGGAACCTTCTGCTTTGCCTCCATGAGCAAATGTTTCAAATCCAACAACACAGATTCATCATTCGCTTTATTTATGAAAGTAGTTGCTATACCCGTACGCCCGGAACGACCAGTTCTTCCAATTCTGTGCACTATAATTTACATGACATAAGATTCATTTGGTTAACTATTATTCCTTTCATATACCCATGTATGTATAATAATGTACCATAATTTTCCACGTCATCAGGCATATCATAATTGATTACGTGTTGCACATCAGCGAAATCAAGACCTTTGGATGCAACGTCCGTTGCAACCAGCACGTCTTTTCGACCTCCGCGGAAAGCCTCCACGGACCGTGATCTTTCTTCTTGATCTGTGAAAGAGGCGAAAGTTAAAAATCTTTCAAAATTCACAGACCACCGAGACTTAGGAATTATTAAATAGTCCCCACACCTTTTCCGCCGTGTATTGCCACCGCTTCAACACCCTTCAACAATAAATATTCGTGAATAGCGTCTACATCTTGTTTCTTTTCAGCAAATATTAACACCGGTGGTGGAGTTTTTTGCAAGCACTCCAAAAGGTACACAATTTTAGCTTCTTGTTTAACATATTCCACTTCCTGAATGACGTTCATTGACGCTGCACCAGCACGACCTACGTTGATAGTAACGGGTTTCACCAAAGCGGATCGTGCGAAATTTTGGATCTTCTTTGGCATGGTCGCGGAAAATAGTAACGTTTGCCTTTGCCCCTAAAAGTATACCAATTGTTAACATATAGACATAGAGAGATGTTGCAAGCATCGCATTGCAAAATGATTACCCTGAAGAATGAAAAAATCGTTCGCACGTCCTCCTCAAAACCCATATCGATCATGCGATCCGCTTCATCCATGCATAAGTAACGACACACGCTCAACTTCACCATTTTCTTGTCCAGCATGTCCATTAACCGTCCAGGAGTGGCTACCATAATATGTACACCTCTGCAAATAAGAGAGTCGCATTATATAGGCGCAAAGCGATAGGTAAAATATTTCAAGATAATTTACATACTTATTAATAACTTCTAAGGACTCTGATACAGGCACGCCGCCAATAGCCAAGCAGCTGCGAATTTCGGGGCAGCCAGCTTGGCGTAAACTATTTGTATAGTGTCTAATAATATCATAGGTTTGTTTTGCTAATTCTCGCGACGGACAGATGATTAAACCTGTAAGACAAAAACGAACATAAATTTTACATCTCGCAGTCAAATCTCATTCAGTGAACAAGATGAAAATATTCACCATATGGCCCTTCATTTCTTATAAACGGCATGGCTACTTCCTGCTCCAAACAGAACATTATAATTGGTAATACGAATACCAAGGTTTTTCCACTACCAGTGAACGCAATACCAATCATATCGCGACCAGATAATCTATAAAATTGGAAAAATAAAATTAAGATAGTATTCTATCTAATTAAAAAAAAATATTGATGCATGATGAGAATAAACTAACACTGTAGGTATTCCTTGCACTTGAATCGGTGTGGGTTTAACAATGCCCTTCTGTTCTAAACCATTCAGAATCCCTCTATGAAATTTCATCTCCTTGAAACTTTTTAGGGGTGGTGGAACATCATCTCCTTCCACTAAAATTCTAAGCTTCCTTCTGAGTCTTTCGTGCCTCAATTCCCCAAGAGCCAGTATTGCTCTCGGAGGTCTCCAACTGGTTTTTATCGGATCTTCATACTGAATGCCCTTTGCCAATTCAGCCACACCCATTAAAGCCTTATTTTCTGCTACACTTTCCAGGATCTTCTCTTCCTCTTTCAACTGCTTCTCCATAGCACTCTCTTTCTTGGCTAAATATTTCATTAATTAATTAAGATTTAAGCACGATTTCTCTAGCAAATAGTCATAAATATATACCTTCTGCTAGTTTCTTTAACTCTGTATGTTGATCTAATAAAGAAATATTTGACTTCCTCCCCCATACTTGGCCATCATCATCATCCGCGTCATCTTTCTCATTTTCACTGCTACTTTTCCCAATGATGCCAGCGGCAGCTTCATCTTTGAGCTGCCCGAGCTTGCCAAGTTTGGCCAATCGCTGCTTTTTACGTTCCTTAACTGGTACATAAGGTTCGTAATCATCCTCACCTTCCAAAGGACTATTATCTCTCTTCATTTTTCTGTTAGATCTCTATATGGGAAAACAAATTAATGAAATAAATATAGTTCAACTGCTGTCTATTTACAGTAGAAAATTTATACATTGAATCGGTGAACTGACATTGTGAATTTGTTGACGAATATTTAGTAGTCAACAATATATTCAAATAATATATATTTTTATATCCACATTTAGCTTTTCTTGTTCATTTTCAAATATTGATAACTAGTAAAACCTGTATGTAATTCATAGCAAAGTTACACCTTCCGGAACTAGGTAGTTTGTTTAAAGTGTATCGTATTGCAATATTACAATTATTAATCACTTTTCATAAATTGGACATTTAATCACTGACTAAAACTTCATCACTGTATGAAACTCAATTTAAAAGCTAACAACACGTCTTGTAAATACAGTCATACCTCACCGATACATATTTTTATTGCATTCGATTCGATAATCGACGCTATGGTGAATCGAACACAATTGTTCGAGTCGAGATATTTCAATTTTCCTTAGCGAAAATGCAATCCGCGGCTTTTTTACGAATTATTAACGAAAAACACTGATCAATAAGACACAAGCTCGGTTGGCGCGAGGTGGTACAGCCAACGAGCGCACGAAATCCAGTTCCGCTCATTGGCTCGGCCATCTCGCGCCAGCTGATCTCGCCTTTCAGTGGTTACTGTTTTCCGTTAGTAACTCATAAAAAAACTGCAGTTTGCATTTTCCCTAAGGAAAAAGTTCGTTCAAATGATCTCAGAAACCCTCCATTTCTGGATTACGAGACATTTTTGGGATATCCTGTAGATCGATTAACAGCCTGATTCGATTCTCGATAGTTCAGTGAATCGAATGAAATTAGTTGAATCGAGTTATACATATTACTAATTTCAAATTTTTTATCATCAAGTGATCAACAGTCTAATTAAAAACAGAAACGAAGTAACAGAATTCTTTTAAATGGAATTTGTATTGTTATTTACTATTTTGTAAAACAACTGTTCGGTTTTGAACAATATGCGCACGAGTCAGAACGAGCACGAACTAGAGAACGATAAAATATTTGTCAATCAAATAGATCATAAGTAAATATAGTAACAGATACAAAATTACATATAGCGATATTTCAATGTACGTACCTTCGTAAGCTTCGTAAATACCGTATGTTACATATACATATACTCAATCATTTGATTGGATCTTATCACAAACAATACGTAGTAGCATAGTACATATGTACATACCGATTATATGTACGTTTTGAGCCGTCGTACGATGTTCATGATATGGTTATCTGAGTATTTCTTATTGTACAAATACTAGTTATAAGCATTTTATGCCCGAACATCGACCGTAAGCCTTTCTGCAGTCTTTTTCTTTGTTGGGAATCATCAAGACGAACAATGATTAACGGACCAAAGATTATTATTGTCGGAGCCGGGGCTGCAGGATTTGCGGCAGCGGCTAGGTTGCTGGAAAAAGGTTTAGAAAACATAACAATTTTGGAAGGAAAAGATCGAATTGGTGGCAGAATACACACAGTAGATTTTTGTAAGTTACACGTTTATGTTTACTTATATTAAAAAGGTATATTAATTAAGATATGCAACTTCGAAATCTTGAAAGAAACAGGTGGATCTGTTATTTATTTTCGTATAAACGTAATAACCAAAAGATCACAAATCTTATAGAGAAAATTGAACAAAGTTTCAGCTCTTCCTTATTTTTTAAAGTTCTTATTATTTAATTATACACTGTAAATTGTTGCCTACTAGCATAGGTAGTGAAGAAAATTATTTAAATACTTTTTCAGCTGACAATGTTGTAGAATTAGGAGCACAATGGGTTCATGGTGAGAAGGAAAATGTTGTTTTTGACCTCGCATCTCCAGAAAACTTGTTGGATTCGTCAAAGTGCTTTAATGATTTCAATGCCCATGTTTTTGTTACTGCAAAAGGTATAATATTACCACAGGAAGAAGGTTCGGAGGTATTCAAGATATATCATGATATTTCTGAGAATATAACGGAGGAAATAAACAATGCAAATTCATATGGGGAATATTTTATAAAACAGTGAGTAATACTTTATTTTGTTCGCTTTTGTAAAAGAATATTATCCATAAATGTATCAATGTAGCTCTCTTTGAACCATGCTTGTAGAATTGGATGCATGTTTGCATTTAGAATTGTGTGAACTTCTTTATCAGGTACTATGCATCTGAAAAGTAACATACTTATCATATCTGCAATAATCCATGTATCAGTTAAAAATTAAGAACACTGAAAGGCATACCTCACACGAAAATTGGTGCATTCATTATTTGAATATTCATTCTGCATTAAGGAATATATATATTTCAGGTATTTGCTATCTAATTTATTTCGATCTTCACTGTACATCTTTGTAGGATTGCGTATCCTCTCCAAGTATCCTTTGGTCAGAATTGGTATAATAAAATTCACCTGGATATAATTAAAGCAATTTAGTAATTTGATGAGTATTTCAATTACACATAAATAGAGTTACTTCACTTGACTGAAAGAGTCGTTTATGAATTCTTCTGCTTTACTGTATACATGATTTTCTTGTTCTTGAAGGATGAGTACTCCAATCTTAGACTTATGAGATCTAAATACTTTTGATATATATTGTGCTGTTGCTTGACCATCGTCAGCAAATGTTAACATAACTATGCATCCATATGATTGTTTAATCTGTTGAAAAAACAGTTCGATATTTCTAACTGTACTTAAATTATCAGAAGAGAATTTTTATACCTTCGGTAATGTATTTTGAGGAAGTCGTTCAGAATTAACTGTTCTAGTTTGCTTCTCTTGTATACTTTCCAATGGTGTTAAAATTAAAGGAGCTCTTGGAATACTTTTAGGCCTCAGTATGGTGGAATCTACATGAATATTTTTGTAAGTCGTACAGGGAAAGTGATATTGTTTATACTTTGGAAACAATTTTTAATGTACCGGAAACTGGAGGTTCTTGTTGAATAGCATTCAGCAAGTTAAAAATGTTGTCTTTTATCTGATAGATCACATCAAACCGATGCATTCTCTGCAAGGCACTCAGGATCTTGTCTATAGTTGCTCCACCATGTTGCACATAAGTTAGCAGTACATAAAAAGCAGGGTCCTCTGGGCCTTTGAACTCATAATCTATGCACTGCAGGAAAACACATCATTATATAACAACTATAATACATTTTAAATACACACATTAGCATTGTACAATTGCATACACGTATTTGTTCCATTGTTAGGCCCATATGCCCTGCAAATTCCTGCCAGCCATTGTACGCTTTCCCTGTGCCAGTAGAGCTCAATAATGAGCATAACTGTCGCAACGTTGGTTTTCCAATGTGATCAAACAAGTAGGATGCATGGATTTGGGAAGTTGCTCTTTGGATACTTAATGCAATAGCGTCCAAATTTGGAGGACCATCAACTTCATTCCTCAATCTTTCTAATTCCGGATCGACATTTCTGGAATCGTATATCAATATTGCAAATACAGAGCTTATCCGTGTTTTTAAACGATATTCTTATTTATATTTTTATGGAACTTTTTATCTATATCTGAGGTGTAATATCGGATTAGGAATTAAGACAGGGTCTTACCTTTTGGCAAACATGATAAAATACTTTGATACTATTTTTCTTAGAATATAACGCGACACTGCACCCGTATTATAATAAAAAACATAATATCATATATACCATATGTTCTAAGAAACTACGAGTTTCATTTCACGCCTATAAACACAAGCATCTTTAATTAGCTTGACAATCTAGTTGTAATAAATATACCATGGCTTCCCCACCACTATTTACGTCAAGGTCGATGACATAACGTGTGCTGCGGTTTTGCCGCTGGTATACAAAATCTGCAAAACTCGGCGTTTAATCCAACATAAAGATGCAACATTTTTTTAAATTTACGTTTAAAATTTCAGGGACAAAAAATTGCAAAATATTCTGACCATTCTAATTAGATAAAAATGAAAATAATTGATGTATTATTTAAATACGATTCAACTAATAAGGTGACTCTTTTATTTCAGATTTTACAAAAAATTCGAAAAAAATCCATTCACTACCCGAGACAGAGCTGAGCAGCTTTTGGATTGGATGCAGAAATTTGATAATTCAATTCAGTGCAGCGATTCTTGGTTCGACGTTTCTGCAAAGGGAATCAAAGAGTACTGGACATGCGAGGGAGATCTTTTACTTAATTGGAAACACAGCGGCTACAAGACTCTATTCGATTTATTATCTGTAGGTCTTATTTTTGGAAATTTTAATTATTATTAAGACGTAAATATCTCGGAATTAAATGGTCAGAACGATGCCCATAAAAAAAATTCTTTTCACCATTATACGTCGCCCTTAGAATAGTATGATTTTGTCTTGAGAACTTTTTTATATAACAACAAATAAGACAGATGTTTAAATAATTCTACTTAGATGAAACATCTTATATATTTTACTGATTTTTCCACAGAGACTATCCAACACAAAACATGTACTGCCCATAATGGAGAAAGTAGAATTGAACAAGAACGTTTCAAACATTGATTATACATCGAGTAACAACATAATCGTAAAGACAAAGGATGGCTCAAAGTACGCAGCATCTCACGTAATATTTACACCTTCTCTTGGAGTTTTGAAAGAGAAGTATGCTACAATGTTCACACCGAGTTTGCCCGAGTCTAAGCAACAAGCTATAAAGGCACGGTAAAAATGTGGCTTTAGTTAGTAATATTACAATATCTGTACATTATACATTTAACATGAAATTAAAACGGGATACATTGTTTAGGGTTTAAACATTGGTACCGTGAACAAAATTTTTCTAGAATTTCCGCACAAATGGTGGCCAGAGGATTGTGCTGGTTTTAGCCTAATATGGTCGAAGGAAGACAAGAAAGAGTTTCTCGAGTCTCATGGACAAGTAAAGTTGCATTTAATGTAACTGTGTGCATATTACTATTGTTCTTTAGGTGTATTAAATCTTTGATATGTGACATAGGGCTGCGAATGGCTATGCGATGTTTTTGCATTTGTCGCGGTAGATTATCAGCCGCGAATATTGTCCACATGGATCTTTGGCAAATACGCGAGACACATGGAACTGCTGTCTGATGAAGAAGTGTCCGAAGGATTGTGGCTTTTGTTAAAAACATTTTTAAGTGGGACACATAATATCCCAAGATTTGAGAAAATGATAAGGTAATAATTTATAACATATTGTTAATACGGGATCATTGGTACAGTTACTTATGATTTATAGGTCATCATGGTATACCGATGAACATTTCCGTGGGTGCTATACTTTTAGAAGTATTACAACCGAAAAGTTAAACGTAGGTGCCAAAGATTTAGCGATTCCGATATTCTCAGCCGATGGCAAACCTGTACGTATTTTGCATGATTCTGTACTCAAAGAAAGTCGTTAATCGAGTATCATAATCGTTTCTAGAGCATTTTATTCGCTGGAGAAGCAACGCACGACCATTATTATTCTACCGTGCACGGGGCGATTGAAACAGGACTCAGGGAAGCAGAGAGAATAATCGACTTCCACAGGTAAATTCGAAATTCTTTTAATTATCAATTAATGTGTAAGGCTTATTCAGAATCACTAGTTGTTGAGTAGACTAGTACAGATTTCTCGATCACCCGTTCTAGCTGTGATAAAGGATTTTTAATTGCAAGTAATGATTCAACGGATGATTAAACGATAAATAGCTCCAAGGTAATGTCCCTGTGCATTGTCACTCCATTCGTAGAATTAGTTTGATCATCCTAATTTTCATTATGCGTTAATTTGCAAATCATCTTTTATCACATACAATTCAGTTTGCTTTACGGTATAGGGTTCACACATTCTGTACCATTAACATACTGTATACTATCATCATCAGCTGTCATCTGTAATTAATTAATCTTTAATTTTCTTTATTAACAAGACGTGATGTTGTTATTGATTAGCTTGCTTTTTCTCAGGCGATTAAAGTCACAGCTCTAGCCAGAACCACATGTCTCTTCATAAAGGATGATGGTAAACTATATACTCACTCGATGCTTTCCAACATCCGAACAAGGGTCAATGGCTTCTTATACATGCACTTTTTATATTTTCCAATAAACAGCGTTAGGTCGTGAGTGAACTCTTTCGACGTGCCAAATTCTTTATTATGATATCTTCATTTTATTTTGGTAGGGGATTTAACTTGAAACGAGTCTTTATTAAAAATATATGGACTGATGTACTTTCTATTACTATCTTCTTATTGTTTTTGTAAGCTATTATACTGTATATATATATATATATATATACATACGTATACATATATGTATGTATGTATGTATGTATGTATGTATATACACATATTTAACAATATTTATTTAACAAACCTATACACAATAGCAATCAAATGTTAATAAAAAACATCACAATTCAAATCATGTAGAACGTGTGGTTGGTTAAAGCAAGTAGTAAACAGCTTCGATAAAATGGGAAGGATATTCAATACCGAAAACGAAATAACAGAAAGAACGAAAGTTGTGATAGTAGGCGCGGGAATAGCGGGATTGGCAGCTGCGAGAACGTTAGAAGACGCGAATTTCAAGGATTATCTGCTACTCGAAGGTAAGTAAATGTATGTTTTTAACCCTTTTAGTATAAATTAAGTAATCATGATAAGATGGTCAAGAGAGTTTATTTCGCAGCTGATTGTGAGATTGGTGGTCGAATACGAACAATACCGTGGAACGAGAATTGGATAGAATGTGGCGCCCAGTTTTTACATGGCGATCAGAGCCCATTGGCAAAACTATGCTACGAAAATGACCTAATCTCCGACATCGACTTCAGAGACGGCCAGGGCATGTTCATGCGCAGCAACGGTGTTAACGTAGACACAGTCATGGTAGAAGAAATATGCGATCTTGTTCAGATAACCCTAGAAGACTGTGAGAACGAAACGAAATACTTACAGGATGATTCTGAGAGTTTAGGTAAGGTCCTCAAGAACGCGTTGAAGGACCATTTACAGCGGAGAAACGATTCTCCAGCTGTAGCTAGCATAAAGGAGGAACTGATGGATTGGAATCTCAGATTTCTTGTGATAGATAATGCATGTCCAACACTGGATGATTTGTCCACCAAATACTGGAGCAAATTTAAGGTGAATACTGAACTGCGAATTTGTGTGCAAGATCAAAATTTGTGATGAATGCATAAAATCTGCGGTCCAGTGAACACTGCGTTTCTTCGCCTCGCCTGTTAGTTGATTCTATTAAGTGTGTTGTAATGTTAAATATAATATATTATAAACTAAATATTGAATCAAATATTAAACTAAACCCTGTCTTTTGTAGTTTGTTGGTGGTTCTGAGAATCTCCTGTTTAGAAATGGATACCACACCTTGACAAAAATTATCGTAAGCGGCATACGTAAAAAGAATCTACGACTGAACACTACTGTGGAAGCTATTGAGTGGCACCGAGTGATCGATAAAGATCTTGAGGCACCTGTTATATTGAAGTTATCCGACAATACTCGGATCCTCTGCAACTGCGTGATAGTCACTAGTTCACTAGGTTACCTGAAGGATAATTACAAGACCATGTTCACGCCAGCATTACCGCAATCAATAAGTCAGGCGATCGAGTATCTCGGATTCGGTTTGATTAACAAAGTCTTCCTAGACTTTGGCAAAGCTTGGTGGCACGATGGCACAAAAGGATTCCAATTCCTTTGGCCGGAGAGGAAGCCTGAAACTTTGAAGATTACAACAGAAACCTCGTGGACCAGAGATCTGACCGGATTCGATGTTCTTCCTGACCGAGAAGGTGTTCTTTTAGGTTGGGTGGGTGGCCATGGGGCTTACATCATTGAAACATTGAGCGAACAACAAGTAGCAACCGATTGCGAAAATTTACTCAAACAGTTTCTAAGTCTCGCCTCGATACCACCGGTGAAGAAATGTGTGAGGACAAAATGGAACTCGAATCCGTACGCTAGAGGTAGCTACAGCCATATCCCAACTAGGTGCAACGATATAGGAATAACACCGGCTGCATTGGCCGAGCCAATATGGAGTAAAATCTCAGGCAATCGCAACAGTAAGGTGAGCGACCTGTTGCATGATTACGTGGAGATGTATATTTAGGGTATAATATATATAATAATAATAATATAATATAATAATATATATAATAATATAATAATAATAATAAAGTATAATATTATTTTGATCTTAGGCCATGCCTACAGTGATGCTAGCTGGCGAAGCGACCAGCGACAACTACTTTTCAACGACACACGGCGCCTTCGATACCGGCGTGAAGCAAGCTCAAATTTTTCTACGCCACCACGTATTCAGAAATTGATCTAGAATACATGCAACATGTTCCTTGTACTATATGTATACGCGCACAGCTATAGCTCAAGAAGGAAAGTTATATTTGATACGGCACAACGGTGCCAATTATTTTGCCAAAACCAAAGATGGCTCGTATATTTGTAAATATAATCAATTACAATAACCATCTGATCATAAAATTATTATTTCTTCTCTTCCGCTTCATTGCTACTTCTTTTCGGTTGTGTTTACGGTTTTAGAGTACAGATTTATCAATCTGTCAGCCTCTCGCCACCCAGTACCGATAGCACCGTGCACTGTTGCTATATTGTCGTTACTTGAAGCCTCTCCAGCGAATAAAACCACCTGCAACAGAGAAATCAAGCGATGAACAATTAAGTTCGAGTATTTCCGATGCTATCCGCCCCAAATGAAACCCACCGGCTTCCCATTTTTCATGATAGGCACGGCCAATTCCGCATTTCCTACATTTGCTTTAGCCGCCTCTACGCTCGTATAACTATAAATGCCCCGGAAATGTTTATTCTGATGCCATTTGCTTCTGCAAGTAAAAAGAAATGTATATCGCATGCGTGAGATAAGAGCAAAGAAAAATGCTTCGCTAGCCACACAGATGGTACCTTGTCATTGCGACTGGCTTGCTGACGTTGTAAGTCTTCGAGAAGAAGCTATTTAGGATCCACGTGACCTGTTCAAGAACCTCCTCGTCCGTGCGCTCATCGATTAGGCGACCGCCCTTTCCGGAAACCCACAGCTGGAGTAAACGAGGCTTGTGCTCGACGACGTTGAAACCAATTGAGTAAGGCATCCACATCCTTTTCGGCTGAAAAATGCGGTAGGACCTTGTATACAAAAATTGTTTAACACTCTGTGCTCATTGCGACAGATATCTAATAGTTGTTAGCTTTTAGATTGCCTCATAGATCTACTGTAAAATTATACACACGTCCTTCTTAAGTTCTTCTAATTCTTGCTTGGTCCACACAAATTGCATCAGTTTGTTTTTGACACCGTCCTTGTTGTACCAATCATCGTTGAAGGCCACGTGCACTTTACAAGCGTTTCCGTATCCTAGAGTCTAAGCAACGAATCGTGTTCATTAGAAACCTCCATAAATTCTTAACTATCTATCGAGCAAAGAGTAGGTACTTTAATTGCTTTAATCTTCGTTTCCGGAAGTTGAGGGTTGAATAGCGTTTCATGGTCAGCCTTCAGCACCCCCAAGGAAGGTGTCATGATCACGTGGTCGGCGGTATACCCCTTACCGTCTTGCGTTGTCAATTTTATCTTACCATCTTCACTCGAATAATCCACTTTGGTCACTTCAGCGTTCAGAATCGTTTTGTTCATTACTGGTAGCTCCTCTTCCGGGTTTGGAATCTTTTTCTGAGGACAGAGTAAACAGCTCAGATTTGAGCATTATGACCATGAAATGAGGACAGTCTGATTAGTATACGGACCATCATTATGTCCAAAATAGTGCTGTAGCCACGTAGCTTCCAATTAACACCCCGATCTCCCTCCGTTGTTTCCTTGTACTCCTGAGCTGCAACGCCATTCCAATCGTCGGCTGGATCGAGGCTCGTCAGCATCAGATTCATGCTCCATAGTAACTGCTCCTGCATCGTGTTGTTCAGTTCCGGGAACTGTGCGAGGCGTTCTAGAACTCTGACGAAACAAATTAATCGTTGAAGGCGATCGTGAAGCGTTCCGTGTAGATTTAGAACAGAAGATTCTCTTGCAAAATCATGTAGTGTCGTTCCAAAGTCTTCTGCCCTTTATCGCACCATGTTCTACCGTTTGAAAAATCCTTATACTGTACCTATCTTTCACGCATTCGCCAAACGAAGCGTTGCAGTTCTTCATGGTTGCATCGGATGTTGTCTCTATGTACTCTATAAAAATCTTTAGGATGTTCTCGACGAGATCGGTGGCCAATCGTTCTCCATTAGACGCGAACATCTCGAACTTGTAAGGGTCCGAATGGTCTGTAAGGTTCAACGGGGCTGCCATGTCGTACGCCACATTCCCCACGTCCCCATGGATCCATTGGGCCCCTTCATCGATCACGTATTCATCTACGAAGGTACGAAAGCATTTATTCCTCATGATTCTCGGAGGCGATCCAGAATTTCAAGATCATCCTTAACGGTAATAAAACTATATAGTTCCACATAAAGAAACATCGATGACCTTGAAATCTTGTAAAAAGATTGCTTAGGAAAAATGTTCTGCTTGCCACAATGCTTTATCGTTCGCGACCTGCGTAAAACTCACCGAATTTAATGGTCTTTACTCGGCCTCCAATTCTATCCTCTGCCTCTAGGACAAGAACATCCTCGATGCCGTTCTGCAGCAGCTTCGATGCAGCTGCGATTCCCGATGCACCCGCACCAACGATCACCACCCTCGGCGATCCTGTTATGGCCAGACTCCTAATGCTTGCGATTAGGGCGAAAAAAGTCAAGATCGCAAATCGGTACATCCTCGTGAATCCGTTCAGACTGGCTCTGAACGCGCACGTTTATCGGTGGGATTGAATGGATAAAGTGGTTTCACACGATAACCCTTCTTATATACAGTTCGAGTTATTATGCGAATTGTGATTTGTCTCTGTGTTAGGGATTAGAGCAATTGGTGGTAGTACAGACCGTATCACCAGCCTGCGGAGACAGATAATCAAAGTCGAATTCAATTGCATAATTACATCAATGGATCATAAGGTCGAGGATAGATCGTTAACTACGAGCAAAATGCAATCATCGGTAATACGAATAAGCAAACGAATGGCAAATAATGATCTTCTTTCTTAATTTATACGCGATAGTGTTTACATCAATTTCTCTATTTACAGCAGCGTCGGGGGAGGAAAAATATTGTTGCTCGACCCTTAAAAAAATTCCTCTTCCAGCAGGCGGGTAACGATTGCAATTTCGCTGACGTGGTGTCGACGTGAGATAACACAGGATCTGCTTGCATATACGAAGTAAAATACTTTATTTACAAATATAATCTCGAAACTTGCAGGAACTTGATGTCGCAATTTGAAGCATTCGAAATTCCTAGAACAAAACCCGGACGTAGATTTTCACCTGAGAATAGTATAAGGAAGCACGTCCATGACCCAAACACTGAAATGGTGATGCATTCGATTATCATTGTCCGCGAAAAAGTCAGGTAAATTATCTAAATGTTAACAGTTGCATGCACGCTTCTTATTCTGATTTGCATGGCTCGGTTTTGTAAAGAGTTCTCAACATGCGTGTAATACTCATTTTGCGGTTGCGGTTCCTGAATATAGATTTATCAATCTATCAGCCTCGCGCCACCCAGTGCCGATAGCACCGTGCACTGTTGCAATATTGTCGCAATCTGAAGCTTCACCAGCGAATAAAACCACCTGCAATATAGAAATAAAATGGTAAACCATCGAGTTCGGGTGTTCCTGTAGCTGTTCGACCAAGAGAAACCCACCGGTTTCCCATTTTTTATGATAGGCTCGCCCAATGACTCGCACACCCCGTCTATATATATATAGCTGTACGCGCCTCGAAAGTGCTTATTCTGATTCCATTTGCTTCTGCAAGTAAAAAGAAACGTATATCGCATGTGTGAGATAAGAGCAAAGAAAAATGCTTCGCCAGCCACACAGATGGGGTACCTTGTCATTGCGATGGGATTGCTGACGTTATAAGTCTTCGAGAAGAAGTTATTCAGGATCTCCGTAATCTGCTGAAGAACCTCCTCGTCCGTGCGCTCTTCGATTAGGCGACCAGCCTCTCCGGGGACCCATAGCATCAGTAAACGAGGCTTGTGCTCAACGAAGCGGAACGTCCTTGCGTAAGACATCCACTTTCTTTTTGGCTGAAAAATTTCATAGGACCTTGTGTACAAAAAGTCTTGAATACTCTGCGCATACTGGGACCAAATATCTAATAGTTTTGTTAAAATTGAAAATTAATAAGTGAGGTATTTTCCGCTATCGTAGATAGCTTGATCAATTTTAGATAGCTTCGTAGATCTGTTATTATATTAGACATACGTCGTTCCATAATTCTTCTAATTCCTGCTGGGACCACCTAAGTTGCAGCAGCTTGTTTTTGACACCCTCCTTGTTATACCAATCGTCGTTGAAGGCCAAGTGCACTTTACAAATGTTATCGTATGCTGAATACTAAGCAACGAATCGTGTTCATTAGAAACCTCCATAAATTCTGAACTATCTATAGAGCAAATAGTAGATACTTTAATTCCTCTCATCTTCGATTCCGGAAGTAGGGGGTTGAATAGCGTTCCAAAGTTATTCTGTAGCACCCCCAGGGATGTCGTCATGATCACGTGGTCGGCGATATACTCCTTACCGTCTTCCGTTGTCAATTTTACCTTACCATCTTCACGCGAATAATCCACTTTGTTTACTTCGGCGTTCAGAATCGTTTTGTTCAGTATTGGTAGCTCCTCTTTCGGGTCTGGAATCTTTTTCTGAGAAGAGAGTAAACAGTTAACATCTGAGCATTATGACCATGAAACGCGTGCTGGAGTCTGATTAGTATACGGACCATCAGCATGTCTAAAATAGTGCTGTAGCCACCTAACTTCCAGTTGATAAATCGATTTATTTCTTCTATTCTCGCGTACCCCTCCATTGCAATATTATACCATGGGTTGAGTACTTCGGCCTCGTACACTATCTGAAGCATGGTCGGTAGTAACTGCTCTTGCACTGTGCTGTTCAATTCCGGATATTTGGCCAGGCGTTCTTTCATACTGGCAAAACAAATTAAAATCGTTGAGTGCGAACGTTGTTGCGGCCAAGTGGCCAGGATTTATGGCAGGGGCCATGCGCTTGGGTACCCCGACGGTATGGGTCTCTCTTTGGCCGTTCCCGGGCACGTGCGGCCCCGCCATAACATCTCCTGGTCCTTGATTACGGTCCAGTCAATTACGGTTGGGTCTGGCATTGTTTGGGCACGTAGGCCCATCAGCGCGGGATGTTTAGCAGGTGTTAGTTTGCCATTCTCCCTGCTAACTCCCGGCCCACCGTTTTGGGGCAGTCTCACTGTTTCTGGGACTGCAGTGATTGGACCGTAATTCCTTGCCGCCCATCCTAGGTCAAGAGTAGGGAGTAGGGAGGACCGAGGTAATATTAGGGATGGCCCCGGTCTTCTAGTGGGAGTGAAACATCGTCAGAGACACGGTTCGGAATACAAGAAACATTCCGGAGATACACGAGAGTCAGGAGAGACCACAAGGGACTCTAGAGACATCGTGAGAGATACGTGAGACCATAAGGGACTCACGAGATACATAAGAGACTTAGTAATCGGACGGCACACCACGTGCAAAATTCTACAGAGCTGGAAGCTCGCAAGGAGCACCAACGAGCATTAACAAACGTGACGCTGCCATTGCGTTCCGAATGCACTCGGAACAAAAGATTCTCATGTATTATAAGCCTGTGGTGCCGTTCCGGAGTCTTCTACCCTTTATTACAGTAATGTCCCTCTAATTGACGCACAGATTGTCCACAGAAATGGACAAATTGGAAAGAGGAGATACGATTGATTCGAGTCTTGCGCCTCGTTTTTATAATTACCGATTCTCAACAACTATAGAAACGGGGCGGAAGGCTCGAATAATCGTGTCTCCTCTTCCCAAATTGTTCATTTTCGTGGACAATCTAAGCGTCAGTTAGGGAGACATTACTGTACTCCGTAATCTTATGTTGGAATAATCTTTGAACGTTCTGATTGCATATTGGATGCTCTTGATTCTTAAATTGTACCTTAATACTATGCATGTCTCATTGGTACCAAGGCAGTCGAATCGCCGGTCCCAATACGCTGTTAAAATCGTTTTCATGATATCCACGAGATGAGCATCCAATTGTTCTCCATGAGAGTTGAAGATCTCGAATTTGTAGAAGTCTGATGTGTTTGTAAACCCCAACGGGTTTGCCAAATCGTATACCACGTTCTCCAGGTTTCCAAAAATCCATTGGGCTCCTTCATCAATCAAGTATTCATCTATGAGAGTACAAAAGCATTTATTCCTCGTGGTCCTTGGTGGCGATCCAGAATCTCAAGATCATCTACGTTTTTTTCTAATGCGACGACATATTGTTATCATCACTGCAAACAGTCATCGACTTATTGCCCGCACCAAGATCATGATGAAACAGGTCGTCCATTTTGCCTCGATACGGGCTATCTCGTGACGGTAACAAAACTACATAATTTCACATAAAGAAACATCGATGACCTTGGAATCTTGTAAAAAGTGAGCTTAGAAAAAATGCCCGGCTTGCCACAATGTTTTACCCTTCGCGACCTGCGTAACACTCACCGAATTTAATAGTCTTTATTCGACCGCCAATTCTGTCCTCCGCTTCTAGAATAAGGACATCCTCGATGCCGTTCTGCAGCAGCTTCGATGCAGCTGCGATTCCCGATGCACCCGCACCAACGATCACCACCCTCGGCGATCCTTTTATGGTCTGACTCCGAGCGGTTGCGATTAGGACGAAAAAAGTCAAGATCGCAAATCGGTACATCCTCGGTGAATCCGTTCGAACTGACTTTGAACGTGTACGTTTATCGGTAGTATTGAATGTGTTGAATGAATCTGATTTCACACGATAACCCTTCTTATATACAGTTCGAGCTATTATGCGAATCTTGATTTGTCTATGTGTTAGGAATTAGAGCAACTGGTGGTAGTACTGTCCGCATTGGCAGCTTGCGGAGGCAGATAATCAAAGCCTAATTCAATTGCATAATTGCATCGATGAATCATAAGGTCGAGGGTAGTTCGGTATTAGTCTTGTATTTTGCAAACAATCACGATTTGCTTTCGAACATTCGGAAGTCAGCATGGACATTCTGATCGATCGCCAGTAACAACGAGCAAAATGAAATCATCGGCTATGCGAATAAGCGGTCGAATGGCGAATCATTTTTCCTCGATGATCTTCTCTCTTAGTTTATACGTGGTATTGTTTACATAAATCTCTCTGTTTACAGCAGCGCGGAAGAGGAAAAAATATTGTTGCTCGACCGATTAGACAATTTCCTCCTCCAGCAAGCGGCTAGCGATTACAATTTTTCCGACTCGGTGCCGATGTGAGATAACACAGGATTGCTTTCGTATACGGAGTAATATACTCTTTATTTATAATTATAATCACCAAACTTGCAAGAGCTTGATGCGCAATTCGAAGCATTTGAAATTCTTGGAACAAGACTCGGACTTTGATTTTCACCTGAGAACAAGACTCATATGGAACTCGATCTGATCCTTATTACAAAGATCTACGGATCTTAGTTGGCAACTAATTAGACGCTGTTTTAGCACGTGTTTACTCATCGGCGATAGATCGAGATGAATTGGTAGTTTTACGTTTCCGCAAATTGAACTTTTTGACAATTTTCGATGAAATAATATGAGGAAGCACATCTATGACTCAAACACACACACACTGAACAGATGAAAAAACTCAGGTAAATTATCTCGATTTTAATAGTTACATGAACGATTTTGCCGTTGAACAATTCGCATTTTCGTGCTCAGGTCTTATCGTACTAATGTGGATTTATCTTTTTTTAGCATATCGGCAAAAACCCATTTACTGGAGTCAGCTATTTTTCAAGAGTGCACAGCTATAGCTCAAGAAGGAAAGTTATATTTGATACGGTACAGCGGTGCCAATTATTTTACCAAAACCAAAGATGGCTCGTATATTTGCAAATATAATCAATTACAATAACCGTCTGATCATAAAATTATTATTTCTCCTCTTCTACTTTATTGCGACTTCTTTTCGGTTGTGCTTTCAGTTTTAGAGTACAGATTTATCAATCTGTCAGCCTCCCGCAACCCAGTGGCGATAGCACCGTGAACTGTTGCCGTATTGTCGCTACTTGTAGCCTCTCCAGCGAATAAAACCACCTGCAACAGAGAAATCAAGCGATGAACAATTAAGTTCGAGTATTTCCGATGCTATCCGCCCCAAATGAAACCCACCGGCTTCCCATTTTTCATGATAGGCTCGGCCAAATCTTCGTTCCCTATATCTTCTTTAGCCGCCTCTACGCTAATGTAACTGTAAGTGCCCCGAAAGTGCTTATTCTGATGCCATTTGCTTCTGCAAGTAAAAAGAAACGTATAACGCAGGGATGAGATAAGAGCAGAGAAAAATGCTTCGCTAACCACGCAAATGGTACCTTGTCATTGCGACTGGCTTGCTCATGTTATAAGTCTCCGAGAAAAAGTTATCTAGCATCCACGTGACCTGTTCGAGAACCTCCTCGTCCGTGCGCTCATCGATTAGGCGACCGCCCTTTCCGGAGATCCATAGCAGCAGTAAACGAGGCTTGTGCTCGACAATGGTGAACGCCAATGCGTAAGACATCCACGTCTTTTTTGGCTGAAAAATTTAGTAGGACCTTGTATACAAAGAGTCTTTAACACTCTGCGCATACCGGGATAAATATCTAATAATTTTGTTAAAATTGAAAACAGATAAATGAGGTCTTTTCCGCTATCATAGATAGCTTGATCAATTTTAGATGGCCAGGTTTACTGTAATATTATACACACGTCCTTCTTGAATTCTTCCAATTCCTGCTGGGACCACGTAAGTTGCATCAGTTTGTTTTTTAGACCCTCCTTGTTGTACCAATCATCGTTGAAGGCCAGTTGCACTTTACAAGCGTTTCCGTATCCTAGAGTCTAAGCAACGAATCTAGTTCATTAGAAGTTTCCATAAATTCTGAACTATCTATAGAGCAAAGAGTAGGTACTTTAATTGCTTTAATCTTCGTTTCCGGAAGTTGAGGGTTGAATAGCGTTTCATGGTCAGCCTTCAGCACCCCCAAGGAAGGTGTCATGATCACGTGGTCGGCGGTATACTCCTTACCGTCTTGCGTTGTCAACTTTATCTTACCATCTTCACTCGAATAATCCACTTTGGTCACTTCGGCGTTCAGAATCGTTTTGTTCATTACTGGTAGCTCCTCTTCCGGGTTCGGAATCTTTTTCTGAGGACAGAGTAAGCAGCTCAGATTTGTGCATTATGATCATGAAATGAGCGCAGAGTCTAATTAGTATACGGACCATCATTATGTCCAAAATAGTGCTGTAGCCACGTAGCTTCCAATTGACAAATCGGTCTCCCACATCTATGTCTCCGTACCCTTGAAATGCTATGTCATTCCAGTCATCGGCTGATTCGCTGCCCGTCACCATCAGATTCATGTTCCATAGTAACTGCTCTTGCATTGTGTTGTTTAGTTTCGGTAATTCGGCCAGGCTTTCTTTTATTCTGACAAAGCAAATTAATCGTTAAGAGCGAACGAGACGCTGCACTGCTTTCTCGAGTAAACTCAGGACAAAAGATCGTCTTGCAAAAGCCTTTGGTGCCATTCCAAAGTCTGCTGTCCTTTATTACACCGTGATCATTTGTTGGAAAAAATCTTTGAACATTCCGAGTACATCTTAGACGCACTTGAACTTTAAATTGTACCTGTCTTTCGTGCATTCGGCAAAGGAAGCGGTGCAGTTATTTACGATATCATCGGGTGTTGATTCCAGATACTCTATCAAAATCTTCGTGATGTTCTCCGCGAGATCGGGGTCCAATCGTTCTCCATTAGACGCGAACATCTCGTACTTGTCAGGGCCCGAATGATCTGTAAGGTTTAACGGGCTCGCCAAATCGTACGCCACATTCCCTATGTCCCCATGGATCCATTGGGCCCCTTCATCGATCACGTATTCATCTACGAAGGTACGAAAGCATTTATTCCTCATGGTTCTCGGAGGCGATCCAGAATTTCAAGATCATCCTCAACGGTAATAAAACTATATAGTTCCACGTAAAGTGACATCGATGACCTTGAAATCTTGTAAAAAGAGTGCTTAGGAAAAATGTTCTGCTTGCCACAATGCTTTATCCTTCACGACCTGCGTAAAACTCACCGAATTTAATGGTCTTTACTCGGCCTCCAATTCTATCCTCTGCCTCTAGGACAAGGACATCCTCGATGCTGTTCTGCAGCAGCTTCGATGCAGCTGCGATTCCCGATGCACCCGCACCAACGATCACCACCCTCGGCGATCCTGTTATGGCCAGACTCCTAACGCTTGCGATTAGGGCGAAAAAGGTCAAGATCGCAAATCGGTACATCCTCGTGAATCCGTTCAGACTGGCTCTGAACGCGAACGTTTATCGGTGGGATTGAATGGACAATGTGGTTTCACACGATAACCCACTTTATATACGGTCCGAGCTATTATGCGAATCGTGATTTGCCTTTGTGTTAGAGATTAGAGTAATTAGTGGCAGTACCGTCCGCATCAGCAGCTTGTGGAAACAGATAATCAAAGCCGAATGTCAATTGCATATTTATATCAATGGATCGCTATCGGTTCTGTATTTTGTAAACAATCGCTGTTTGGTCTCGGAGATTCTTTTTGTCTTCCGACAGCCAACATAGCAATTCCGATTGATCCGCCGGTGACAATGTTGCTCGAGGTGGAAGAAGCAATAATCGGCAACGTGAATGAGCGATCGGACGGCGAATAAGTTTTCTTTAATGATCTTCTCTCTCGGTTCGTATGCGGTAGTGATTACATAAATCTCTCTGTTTACTGCGTGGGGAGAGGAAAAATATTGTTGATCAACCGTTAGGAAAATTCCGATTTTTCTGATCAGAAGCAGATGTGAGGTGACGCAAGAACCGCCTGCACGTACAATCTATATAATTTATTTATAAATATAATCTCGAAACTTGCAGATAACTTAATCTCAGAAACTTGATGCATAATTCGAAGCATTTGAAATTCCTGGAACAAGGCTCGGAGGTTGAATTTCTCCCGAATTCAAAATACATATCGAACTCGATCTCATTCCTACTACAAGGATCTATGGATCCTGCGGTGACCAATTAGACGCTGTTTTAATGCGTATTGACTTATCGGCGATGGATCGTCGAATTGATGATAGGATGGAAGAGGTAGGATTATGTTTCCTGAAATTGAACTTTCCATCAATTTTCAATGAAATACGATAAGGAAGCACGCCAATGACTCAAACACTAAACGGATGATGCATTCGATTATCATCGTATCAATGACGCGATCCTTTTTTCCTTTTTACATTCCAGCTGATTCCGACTCCAGGAAAAGATCTGTCTCGCTCGACCGGTATTGGCACGATGCCACTACGACTGAACGTGTCCACGATACTCTTGTTTTTCGCTGTTGTAGCAGTGCTGTCCGCCAAAAATTCAGGTGAACTATCTCAATGTTAATAGTCGTATGCACGCTTCGTGTTCCGATTTGCTTCGCACGGCTTTGTATGTAGTTCGCAATGTGTATTCATCTTCGATTTTTATCGCAATTCCGATTTTTATATGCTCATCGTACGTGTGTCGTATTAAGGTGGATTTATCTTTTTTTAGAACGTTCAAAGAAAAAGAAACCTAATGCGTCGAAATTCAGTGATAACATTAGCAAAAATCCTTTTCTTCAAAGCACAAACACGCAGCTAAATCATAGTAACGACAAGAATATATTCCTCCAGGATCGTGACACAACCATAAATTGGGATAACATTTTTGTACTAGCTCCTGTCACCCAATCCCCAACTAACAATGGCATGAGACAGGATCAGGGTATACCTCTGGGTAACAGCACAAAGAACACAGAACAGGCTGACAATGTTATTCCTACTTACAATACTAATCCCTTCCTGCAATTACAAGTTAATGCAAATAAAAATACTGCAACTCCTTCTACGATTAACCCAGGTGAAAATGTAAAACCAGACACTGCGAAAATATCGGATAGGCTCTCCGGAGGATCAAATAAATATGGAAAATTAAGAAGAAAGTCAGAATTCAGTGAGTGTGCCTACGTGGAGCAAATAATAGTCTATATTTTGTGATAGCAACTAATTTTCCATCTGCTTTTCTCAGTGTGCCAGCAGTATGGAAAACAAATTTCAGGCACAACAGAAGTGTTGCACTTGGTTTCCATACCAACGGTGACCTCGGTTGCCACCGATGCCTGTTCAGATGCAAATCAGCTTGTTATCGGAGGTGTCACTGCCACTCCTGGTGAGTTCCCTCACCAGGTTTCTCTTGGTAAAATCACCGATGGAGTGTACAAAAATTTATGCGGTGGTTCATTGATCGCACCAGAATGGGTACTCACTGCAGCCCACTGTACTTACAGCCCAAGGTAGTGCCTCGTGTTTTCTCTATCGATCGAATCATAAATATTATTATACAATCCTTTAAAAAAGCCCCTCAGTTGTGCGTATCGGTTTCCATGATCTACGGGACACGGACCGTGGTATTTCGGCGGCGGTGAACATAGTTGTACGGCATCCTGGTTACAAGCCTCCTTCCATGTACGACGACATAGCTCTTATAAAGATGGACAGAGCTATTGAATTTAATAAAAGCATCAGACCCGGTTGTCTGTATCAACGGTACGACAGTGTACCGACGAAAGCGTGGGTTAGCGGCTGGGGTGTCATTGAATTTGGTAAATCTAACATTCACATATCAGGTCACGTAAGGATTTTTTACAAGCATTTTCACATGAACATTTGAGGAATATTTACAGACGATGAAGAAGGAAGCAACACACTGCAGAAAGCTGAGCTCACAATTCTTGATAATATAAGATGCGCGCTAAGCCACAAGCCATCGATACAGATACCATACGGCATCACGCCAAATATGATCTGTGCCGGAGATCCTACAGGTGGATGGACGAGAGACAGTTGCCTGGGTGACTCTGGCGGTCCATTGCAAATCATTCATCCAGAAAACCAATGTCTCTTTCAGGTATTTGGTATCACTAGCTTCGGACAGGGTTGCGCGTTTGCTAACATGCCTGGAGTGTACACGAAGGTCTCGCATTATCTTAATTGGATAGAGGATAACGTTTGGCCGTCAGTCTAAATTCGTCGTATGAATGTACGTCTCGCTTTGCAAAGATAAAAAAGTTCGTTTATTTTTTCAATAATTGACCCGATTGATCTCAAGATTAGAAAGTCAAAATACATTTAATATTAAAATTGTTTAATGTACATTGGAGAGAATGATATACGTTTCTTAGAGGTACAGTAAAGAGTACATCTTCGAGAACATTGGAAAAATTTTCGAAATATTTTACAAAGCCTTGAGATGATTCTGCTAAATTATTCTTTTTGTATGGTTTCCGTTATTCCTTTCTGTCAAACAAGAAAGAAAATTTGCTAAATGTATGAAACGCTAAATAATCGTAGCTTGACTAGAGGTGTTTAAACTCTGCGAGAATAGCTTCTTCGTGACTGTCGAAAATAAATGCGAAATCTGCCGTATGCGACACAGGAATTATACTCAAGAGATCTTTGCATCGTGAATGGTCCTCCATGTTAGTCCATCCCCATATGGGCCATGGTTCGACGGAAAAAGTATATACCACCAGCTTCTATAATTGAGAAAAGAAAAGCAGCATTATTTATTTAACGAGTGTATTAAAGGTGATTTTATCCGTCACGATAGTTCTTTAATTACCTGTCGACTACGCCTAAGAACAGCTTCCAGTTTTGCTTCGGGCCGAAGTTGTATGGATTTTCATACACTTTTCCAAGTTTTTTATACTTCTCAGCTTCTGTAGTGTTAATACGTGCTTCTATACTTGTTTCCCCCTTAGTGATAAGAATAGCGTGCCACCACATTAACGCTCCCAAAGTAGCGAAAGTCGGTACGCAGATTAAAGCCGCGCAATTGATAAGTTGTCGCCTCCATTCCTTGGCCTTCGCGTCGGCGGCTTGCTTAGCTATCTTCGCTATCTCTTCCTCACTCAAATGATCCAAGGATTCAGACTGAAATGGACGCAGTAGCATGTCTATTAATTCTATTCGTTCAAGGAAGGGTCTAGTGACGTCGCTATGTAGTAATTACCACAGGTATGATCTCGGAGTTATTGATCCGCACAGGATGGCCGTCTAATTCTGGATCTTGGGCGGGAAAGTATTCTTGATATGCTATTTCGACTCCAAACAGCATAATAAATATAATACCTAACACCATGAAAGCCATGTACTGGAAGAAGTATCGGTGATTGTAATGACCGACACAATTATTCAGCCACGCTATTTCGCAAGTCAAGAAATTTATATTGATAAAAGCCACCAACTTTCAATCGATATGGAACCAATCAATATGGAACCATGGATAATAATCATAACAATTTTAAAGATTGTGTACCTACTCTAGATCTATAGAAGCGTTAGCCTATGGATTAATGCGAAAGGATACGACAATGATGGTCCATTTTAAGAATGCACCTATTGCACACAGAGCAATGATGCGTTCTGGGTGGTTTTGGTTTAATACATTTCTTACAAATGCTCACAGCCTCCGGAATAAGGCCACCTTGTGGTGGGTAGCCAGCTGGGACATTAACACCCATATAATAATGGAAACAGACATTAACTAGCAACCAGTTTCCAACCACTAGGAGGATTATTGTCATCGCTGGACTCTTCTCCCACCAATATGGCAGACCAATGTAATAGGCAATATACACTATATATGCAGTTAAAAGGGTTACCATTACTACAAACACCTGTGAACTGCAAAGCATAGTAAATATATTGTGTCCGATATAAAATTTGTTTATACTTATCTAAACCTCGATAATTTGCATGAATGTAATTACCGGTCCTAGACAGGCACTGAACATCTCTACAAACCAAAACATTGGCTCTAAAAGAATATCACAGATGTAACTCCAGTTCAAGAAGTCGTTGTAAAATAAAGATTTCGTAATGATTTGAAGCTGCCGCCATTTCTGTTTTAAGTGAAGTCTAAAAAATGAAAAATTCGATGAAAAGATAAGAATCATATTTGTTGTTAATCGTGACTTACTTAAGAGTGTTCGGAGTCTTCATTAATGACCACTTTATCCTAACCATTTTGTATAACATGTAGATCCTCACTATTATGTTATTATTATGTGCTCATTGTATCTACAAATTAGTTAATTGTCACGAGATCTACTACCCGACATCGTGTTCGATTTCACGTCCAGAAATTTCGTATAGTCTTTCGTGTAACCATGGATGTTTCCTTCCTTGCAGAACATTAGCTTGAAATACTTTTCTACAGTTATCAGATCGGGCTATTGATAATGGTTTTAATCGAACTTTAAATTAGGGAAACGAACTATACAATACGAACACGTCTTATACATTGCTCGTACGGCTGTGATCACGAATAAGACGTAAGAATAGAGACCTGATGAACTTTTCCCGACTGCCTTGCCGACCGTGAATTCAACAATTAAATGCATACAATTGCCTATTTTTAATGATCGTAAAAAAGTCTTAAACTAGTCTTATTTTTCGTCGAAGTGATAATAAAAAGAAAATAGGGGTGTAGTCCAATTATCCGGCATATTCGCAAAACAAGTAGCAATTTGTGATAAGTGGCACTCCTTGTGGTAAAATCTCGAAGCTCCGTTCGAGGTCCGTACAGCGCCAATTAGTAAGTGGCAAAGCGCTGAAACTGTTAGCCAAATTACTGGCAGTCGATTTTGACTAACAGTTTCAGCGTTTTGCCACCTACTAATTGGCGCTGTACGGACCTCGAACGGAGCTTCCAGATTTTACCACAAACGGCGCCATTTTTATATTTTCAGGAACCGATGAATCGGCCGGATT